AAATCATTAGTTAAATGTAATATGCGTGCTATACAAGGTCACGTTTAAATGGGCATAATAGCTGTTTGAAGACAATTCAATCGCATGATCATTTGCAAAGTAATATACATTGCAAAATAATAGCTTCCTAAAAGTGCTCACACAAGTTAAAAACATTTTTCTGAAAGTTTTTTATATAATCAGATTCCTTTTACAGAAAATGTGAAAACACATTCATGCATTATTTAAATTTGGAGTTGACCTTGAAAAAGCAAATATCAATAATATGTAGAATACTCATTACAGCTATTATTAACCTACAGATAATAATTGATTTGAAATATTTACTTTATTCTTTTAATTTACAGAGAGACAGTGAAGAAATCACATATCCTCCCACACATCTCCCCCCCACACACATGCCCAAAGAGTTCTTCCATGCATTGATATACTCCAAAGAAGTCTTCAAGAGTCAAGGTTGGGATTGCCCCAAGCCAGGAGCCAGGAACTTTATCTGGGTCTCCCAAGTGGTTGGCTGATACCCAAACACTTGGGCTGTCTTCTTCTCCTTTTCTCTGGCCTTTAGTATGAGGGTAAGTGGAAAGTAAAGCAGCTTTAAAGTCACCTGGCCCCCATGTGGAATGCTGGGGCAGACAGTGGCTTAGCACACCTAGCCACAACACCAGCCCCTACCTCCAGACAATTCCATTGTACTCTTTGGCTAAAGTATACAATAATTCTGAGGAACACTTTTCTATTTTGTCCAAGAGCTTTGGGGCAACCTAAGCTTTAGATTTCTAACTTCACTCGCAGCAACATTAAAAGCTGACAGACAATGTACACTGGATAGTGTTTGATTGGATCCTTCCAGCTTACTAGCACAGGCATATCGCTTGCCTTTTATTTTCATCTCATCTTCACCTAAATATGGACAACATTCTGTGGAAGGGACTGTGTCCTTTACCTATGAACTCTTCTTCCTTCCTCACCTCTCTCTTTCCCTTCCCTCCCTCCCTCTCTCCTTCCTTCCTTCCTTCCTTCCTTCCTTCCTTATCTCTCTGTTTACTTCTCCTCTCCTTTTCCTTAATGTTTCCTCCACATCTGTGCTTAGTTTACTTAATGTGAAATTGAAACTCTAGTATTTTCAAAAGGTAATTGGATTTCTTGTCGTGTTCCTCTTTAAGTTTATACAAGGATAAGAAATTTTCCCAGAGATAGCAGTAGAGATCCAAATTTGAACCTAAGTATCACTCAGGCATGTCTCTTCACGTCCGGAAAGCTAGTGGAACGGGTTTCTCTAGTCACTTTAAAAGTCAGTTAGTTAAGCAGTTTACTAAAGAAGAGCTCAATCTATTCACAACTGAGGCTTTAAGATGCTGAGTCTAGCAGTAATTGAGGAAACAGTATGAAAGAAAGTTAGTTACTCAAAAGAACTAAGGAGCTTTCTGGGAGAGAACAAGTCTCAAGATGTCTAAGAAATCAAAGGTGGCAGACAAGTGTCTTACCAGCGAAACATCCTGTGTGCTGGTAACACATGCACTTGATTTCATCAGTTCTTCATGAGAGAAGATACAGCAGAAAAATAAGAAAATGGTGCTATCTCCTACTTTACATAGTACAGAGTGACACTAGATTCTACTGCATTGTAGCCTCGCTGGGTTAGGCTTTCTGGATAATAAAAGTGAACTGTGATTCCAGTCTCTTCCTTTCTCCCAAACATAGGGCTCAGCAACATCATCCCTAGTCAGACTTGTATCAAGAAAAGATTCAGTTACCTTAGATAAAGAGTTAAAATCAATGTCTGGAAAGAGGACAGTCTTTGGAACAAACGAATGTTTGTTCTGGAAACATTAGATCTCCATGCACAGAAACAAAATCAAGCATGTCAATCAATAATCTGATATCATCAAATTACTAGAAGAAATTATCAAGTAAAATGTGTCACAATCACACAAGCAGAGTTTCCTAGAAATGAAACCAGAAGCACAGGCCAGAAACGTTAAAACAGACAAATGAGATTGGAACAAGGTAGTGTTGATTTTTAAGGCTTATATTGTTCTAATTTCATTTCATTTCAATCCCCTTTTTAGAAAAATCAGCAAAATGTTAAAATGACTTTTTTTTATTTTCCAAGTCACAAAATATTATTAAATAATGTTGCATTCAGGACTTTTCATTCTTTTTGTGTAGTTCTGCCAAAGCTTCTTAATTTGATTAAGTGCTTTTCTTGGTTTTTGACACATGAGATTGTTTCTATAGGTGTAATTAACATGAAATAAAATAAAATCTTAGTAATATAATACATGCTAATTATATTATGAAATGAGAAAGTACCTATGCTATGCACAATTTATTTATTCATTAATTTGATCAAGTCAGAAAAAAGTTTGAAGAATATGTAATAAATCATGTTTTTCCAAATTGAAAAAAGTCATTGAAACTTTCACTGAGTGGTGGTGATTCTTATATCCAACTAAGTCAAAATTCAAGTTGTATTTATTTATTTATTTGTATAAAAGCATTATGCAAAGGGGATAGATACAGTTCTCCCATCCGCTGCTTCACTCCCTACAGGAACAGTGCAGTCAAGACTGGGCCAATTTGAAGACAGAAGCTTCTATCAGGTCTCCCAAATAGTTGGCAAGGTACAAACATCTAGACCCCCTTTTTTTTAAGAGTCATTTATTTATTTTATTGGAAAGTAAGATATACAGAGAGGAGGAGCGACAGAGAGAAGAAATCTTGTGCCTCCGTTGATTCATTCCCCAAGTGGCCACAAAGGCCAGACCTGAGCCGATCTGAGGTTAGGAACCAGGAGCCTCTTCCAGGTCTCTCACATGGGTACAGGGTCCCAAGGCTTTGGACCTTCCTTGACTGCTTTTCCAGGCCACAAGCAGGGAGCTGAGTGGGAAATGGGGCTGCCAGGACATGAACTGGTGCCCATTTGGGATCCAGGAGTGTGCAAGATGAGGACTTAACCCACTAGGCTACCATTCTGGGCCTACCTGGGCTTTCTTTCACTGCTTTTCACTGTGAAAAGCACAGGGGTCTGGATTTTAAGCTGAGCAGCTGGGACATGAACTGGTACCTATTGGGAAAACTTATATCAGAAGCAGCAGCTTCACACACTATACCACTGTGCAAACACTTGTAACCATCATTTTCAAGTACATAGCATGACCTAAGTTTCTACTTTAAGTCGATAGATATAAAGGCAAACATAATCTCATATTTTCTTCTTAGGTAAATAACTTATTACAAATTCTAAGCATTTTCTCTCACCTCATACATGAATTAATAAAATTTTAAACAAGATGAAATTATGATAATATTATACTAAGAATGTCAAGCTCAGTAATAATTTTATTGACTGCTACTTCCAAACCTCATGCACACTGTCCATAGCAGAATATGCCCAGTGAAATATCTTTTATTTTATGCGGTTTTCTAGAAAATCCCTCAACTCCTTCTCCCCTGCTCATTTTGCTGCTATAGAATATATGTACAGAGCCTTACCCCTGATAACACTGACTGAAAAGAGAAAGTATATTGCTAAATCTACATATAAATTTTGAAATTATGAATTGATAACTTACAGTCAAAAGAAATGATCAAGAAACTGAAGCTAAGAAATGGAAAAACTCCATAATATCAGTTGTTACTATTAAGGTATCATAATAACTTTGGCAAATACATTCAGAGTAATTTATTTAAAAATGTTTAAAAGAACATATATTTAAAAGGAATGCAGTGTATTTTGATATTTTGAACTCCAGAAAACAGGATTCTGGTCTTAGTCTTGCTAAAAAGATTTATGGTAATATCAAATATTCAGAGTACCCCTGCTTATAAAATTATAGGAAATATCTTAGGATTTAATGATTCTTACTAATCTTTTATTTTATTGCATACAGGATTTATGGAAAGAAATTTGGGTGTAATCAGAGTATTAGTGATACCAAGTTCATTTAGTTAAGGGATGTTAGAATAGTTTATGAAGCATCGTTACTCCTGAGTGTGCTTGGAGATATTTGAGCTGGTGGGAATAGTATAGAATGTCACCCCATCAAACAGCTGGAAATCTTCCCAACTGTTGGGGACCTGACTAAAGCAAAATGTCAGAAGGAATGTGTTTTCGTAAGTGAGACACCTGTTTTGTTCTGTCTTTGGATATTGAACTTTCTAATCAGAACCTAGGAGTTTAAGCAGCTGGATTCCCTGGTTCTAAGGCCTTCAGTCTTGGGAACACAGCACAACACTGAGTTTTCTGGGCCTCCGACTTGTAGAGAGCAGACAGTGGCACTTTTCAGGCCACCTCCATAATCACATGAGAGAATCCTCATAACAAATTCATCAATATACATTTATGTGGCTTTTGATGGTTTTGTTTCCATAGAGAACCCTTATTAAAACAGATACATCATTTTTGTAAATATGTAGACATAACATGACTTCATTTTGTTAAACGAAAGAAGAAAGTAAAATGTTTTGGAATGAATTAGCACAAAATCTTGCACTCTGTTGAAAGTTGAGACAGTTATGAAACATGTGAATAATTATTTTTAAGAATGCATAGGGACTTAAAACTCCACAATTGATTTTTTCTTTTTTTGCTGTCAAATTCAGCTCCAAGATTTATGTAGCCAAAGAGAAAAAAATTCTAATGTTTTCAATGATCAATTTTCAAGCTATAATTTGCAAGCAGCATATGCATATGATTATTGCATCAGGGTTGGCAGTAAAGCCCATGTTTGCATGTACACAAAAATGAAGGAAAGAAACCAAACTGAAACTGTATTTTCTGTTATAAATTAGATTATTTATTGAGACTTGAATATAAAAGATTTCTTAAGCCAACTAATGAATATGCGTGGGGAGATGGTGTACCACTCAAAAACAAAGAATTTATGACATTTTTAGATTTGACCTATCAAATAACATATGATTTCAGAGCACCAACTTAAGAATGTTTTAGAGAATGCATTCATTGTAAAAAGATGCTGGTTTATGAGAACACAAGTTCAGTAGACGCTAGAGAAACCATAACCACCATGGCACTGTGGGTGACAGCAGCCATATCTGAAATTTCTAAAGCCGGAGCCATATCCACAGCCTCCAAATCTGGAGCCATATCCACAGCTTCCAAAGCCAGAGCCATATCCACAGCTTCCAAAGCCGGAGCCATATCCACAGCCTCCAAATCTGGAGCCATATCCACAGCCTCCAAATCTGGAGCCATATCCACAGCCTCCAAATCTGGAGCCATATCCACAGCCTCCAAATCTGGAGCCATATCCATAGCCTCCAAATCTGGAGCCATATCCACAGCCTCCAAAGCCGGAGCCATATCCACAGCCTCCAAAGCCGGAGCCATATCCACAGCCCAGTTTGCGGAAGCTTCCACAGCCACAGCCATGACCATAGCTCAGACCTCCCAACCCTCCGTGGCCGAAGCCAAGACCTCCATAGTATCTGCCATAGAAGCTCATGGTGTCAGGAGCAGTGAGTCAGGTTCTGTGTAAGACACAATTCTGAGTGTGAATGTCAGTCTGTGGAGGGGGATGCTTATATATCCTGAGCATAATGTGTGATGAACCCTGTGGCCATCTTTCATCATTCCAACTTGCTCATTCACTTGAGGCAGCTCATTAATCTGTTTGCCAACACAGAGGGCACATTCATTAAAATTTTTGAAATTGCTTAGTTAGCCAGTTAGAGCGAAATTATCACACTACTTTTTTTTTTCTGGTGAGAAAATAAGTATGTTCTCAAGTGACGAAATTTGAAATTGCCTAAGTAGAATTAATTATTAAGAATTTTGTGTCATTCATATTTACTAATATCCTAGTAAATATTGTCATGTTCGTATACTTACACTAATTGGTATGGCTCCTGCCCCTAGAAACAATATATTAATCATGTGTAAAACTCTTAAATCAAGAAATTTCTTCAAATATCAAACACGTGTTTCAGATTAAGAAATGAAAACAGTATTTTGAGCAAATAAATCTGATCACCTGTGAACTACACAAAGTAACAAAGAACGAAACTGGAAACATTTTTCATCCTATCAGCCTGAAAAGCACCCTTTTAGCTATGAACATAATAAAATTTATTCCAAAAATTAGGGAGTCAACTAAAAAAGCAAATTTACTTTTATAACCAGTCTGAACAAATGTTCCAAAAAGTTTATACAGTTTTTGTATTTTTCCAAAGTAGGAGCCACCTAAAGTGTTATCTGCAACACCAAATGACTTAGGCTCATTTCTGAGAGGCACCGTTTTCTTTCTTTGCCTTCTCTTTGTCTGATTTGCATGTCAGTGTCTTCCTCTTTACACTCCCTTTTGCATTCATTTCCAATGTTTAATATCAGTGAGGTGTCTCACGCTTATCAACTTCCCAGAGAGAATTCTTTCCTTCTACAAATATACTTCATTTGATCATTTTTACCCTTAGATTTTGTTTTCCATTACCATGAGCTTCACTTTCTTATTTTTTTTCAAAATTCAGAAAAAAAAATCTATGACGTTACTCTTTGATAATCTCAAAAAAATTAATTCTGTCATACAGTGTGATGTAAAATATGATAATGCATTCTATTACTAGTGTCAGCTACAATGGTTATCAATATTATGACATTAATCACTTTTATTTTTACTTCCACAGGACACAATCATTGAATTTACTAAATTTGTCATGGTACACAACCATATCTCACAACACTGTAATTGGATTAAATGGAATGATAGATAATACCTTGTGCAGAGTAAATTTAAGTGTATATTCTCTAAATGGAGACTGTGATCAGTGTATATTAATACACATTTAGAAACATCTGAGCATCCATTTGCATATTCAAGAGTGGATAGGAACATGCAGATATCAACATAAGTAAATTATAAACTAGTGTACTTTGAGGTTCAATCATGTTTACCAACATCATCAAATATTATAGAGATCATGACTATGTAAAATAGGATTTTTTTACATCTTTCTAAATTTACATATATTCATAGAAACAGAGGTTAACTGTTAGAATATCTAGCTGCAGGAAGCGAGAAAACAGACCAGGAAAGCAGGTGGCATTGCGGCCTCTGGGTACAGAAGACCTTGGTGTTGGTCCTGATGGTGTCATTGAGCTCAGGTACTCCTTAGTTCATCCCATTGCCTTTGTTTGCTTTTTTAATCTGGAAGGTGAGGCAAATGACATTGTTGTCATTTAATATTTATTTTGGATCAGCAGTCTTATGAAACTACATTTTGACTGAATCAAAATTTTTTTTTTACCCCAGTGTGTTAGTGATTTAGAGCAACAACTGTGTGGAAATGTCAAATAAAAGTGTGTTGAATTATACACCTTGGGAAAGTATACAACTTAGGAAAGTTGCTTGCTTTTATAGCTAACCAATTATCATTTACTTGCTCTTATGGGAGAGAAAAAAAAACCCTCAAACTTTAAATAAATGGAAATATTTACTACTCATTTAGAGTGAATGGAATACTTTGAAACAGAGCAAATACTTATGCTGAACACGTAAATATATAGGCATGTCAAATGGATGTCACCTGTTTGTTGCTGCTGATCTGAAATGCCAACATCACAGAGCACTAGTTTAATACAAGGCTGTTCACATCTGATTGAGCTCCCTGCTCATCTTCTTGCGAAGGCAACAGAGGAGGCCTCCAGTACTCCGACTTGTGCGATCTACATGCAGGACCTGTGCAGAGAGCTGGACTCTTGACTTTGACCTTATTGCAGCCATTTGGGGAGAGAACTATCAAATGGAGTCTCTCTCTCTCTAATTCGGCCTTTCAAATAAATATGAATATTTTAACAGAACAAGTTATTAATTGAGGATTTCCGTGCAATGTTGAATTGTTAGTATTCAGAGCCATCTATTTATTAGTATGCCTATTTGTAAGGCAAGAACGAAAATTAAAAACACTCAGCCAAGGAAGAGCTTCCCTCACTAACAACCGACTAGAATGCGATTGTCATCGTTTGTACAAAATTGAGTTTTCCAGGTAAAACAAAAACGACACTGAGTTTTCTATTTAGGACATTTAATTGGAAGATGCAATCAGTTATAAAAGCCAAAATAGAGATTCCTGGGACTGTGATGGAGATAAAAGTGTAAACTCTAACAGGTTTATAAATTGAATTAGTTAGATGCTATCGCTCTATGATTTTCTATTTCACAATGGGTGAAGGCAAATTTTACACTGCCTGATAGTTTCAGACACTGAAAATCTGGGGCAGTGATTTAGCCTAGTCTGAAGAATATGTATCCTGAATAGCACCATGATGGCCAAAGCTGTTGTTGCACCATTCAGATTGCAGTCAAGGGAGACGGCCTCAGTCCATTACTGGTCCATAGTGATGTCCCAGTCCTCTGGGAAAGGAGTGCTTGTGCTCAAGGCAAGATGTTGAGTGTGAATGTCAACATCCATATGTACGTGATTATGTCATCTTTAGATCATGAGAGAAAATACTCTTCGCCTAATTTAGAATAACTCTGAGCATGACCCTTCATTGACATGAGTGTACATGCTTGTCTGCTCATACATACATTCTGTAAGTAGAAATTGCTGCATTTTCAAAGCCTGAACATACCAGATACCAAAAATATTGCGCTTTGAAATTGGGCAGTCCTCCTCTCCGTCATTTCCTCAATTGTTGTGCTTCCTTTATGATTACATGAAGGAATTTGGCTGAATTCAATCTGTACCATATGATAGACTTTCACAGATACCATGTACCTCATGACAAGTTCCCTTTCCAATGGAAAGCAAAGACCTTCAAAGTCTGGAGGAGTCACTCTCCTGTTGTGCATACCAGTAAAGAACTTCAAAATTATTTTTTAAATACAGCTGTTTACTGTTTTTGGCTGTTATTGTCCTAGCACATGGTCCCTAATAACAACTACTCTTTTTCATTGTTTGACTAGTTTTTAAATACTCTGAAAATCCATTTTTATTTAACAACACAAAATGCCAAAAAGTGAAGTCAAAACATATTTTAAATGCAAGCTTACAAACTTTAAGATTTCTTTGTTCACACCCTGACTCTTCTTTGGTATATACTATGTAAGGTCATCTTCCCAAGCTATTTCACTGATTTATACATATAACTTGTTACCAATTCATCTTCCAAATTCTTCTTAGGGTATAGGAATAGAAGAGATAGTAAAATGTGACATTTTTAAATCATATGATACATTATGTTTTAAAGCTAGTGTCACCTTAGTACAAAAACTGTTAAAATATAGTTCACATATACAATTCTAAGATATTACAGACTTTTCCTTCTTCCCTCTCTCCCTCTTCTTCCTACCCATCTTTGGCCATTCTTTACTGCCCTCACTGGCAACAAGCAGGGAGCTGAAAGGGAAATGGACTCATTGGAACATGAACTAGCACCCATACGGGATATATGCAATGTGAGCATTTAGTCACTGAGCCATTGTGTTTATTTTAAAGAGAGAGAGACAGACTGACAGAGAGAGAGAGAGAATATTTTCTATTAGCTCGCTCCCCAAATGATCCCAACAACTGGGGCTGGGGCATAAACCTGGATCTGCAAGCATTGTTTTGGTCTCCCATGGTGACAGTCACCTTCACACTTAAGCCATCTTCCACCGCTGTTCCTCTACCGTTAGCAGGAATCTGCTTCAGAGCTAAAACATCTTCCATTTCAGCTGGCCCTCCAACTGGTATGCTGATATCACAAGCAGCACTTAGCTGCTGTTGTACCATGCAGACCCCAACCACTGTTCTTTTTACTGTCTCTGCATTTTTCCTTAACAATGTCATGCAGCTGGAATCACACAGAGTGATACTCCTTTTGAGATCATATTCTTCTACTTAGCTATACTCCCATGTTCAGTCACAATAGCCAAGATGCACCCATTAACAAATGATTGGGTAAGGAAAATGTGATATTTATATACCATGGAATATGACACAGTCACAAAATAATGAAATCATATCTTGCTCAACTTAATGGATGTGATTGGATATCATCATGCTCAGGGAAATATCCATTTCCCAAAAGACAAATGCGACATGATCTACTTGGCAGTATGCTTTCACTACTTCCTACTTACAGGCGGATTTCTCTTCATGACTGGTTAATATCACATGGCATGAATGTGTTGCATTTTGTTTACCCTTTTATATGCTGATTTACAAGTTTTGAAAATTATGAATAAAAATCCTGTACATTTGTGTTCAGATTTACATATATGTTGGACTTATTTGGAAAAATATTGAACAGCATGATGGCTTGACCATATGGTAAGGATGTGTCTAGCTCTGTAATAAAGCGCCAGGTTGTATTTCGAGGCTGGTATACCATTTTTACTCCAATGAGTAATGGATGGAGGCTGTATGGCCTACATCCTCATGGTCCTTTGTTGCTACCTTTGGATTTTAACATTTATAATAATTACATCAAAATTCATTTTGATGTACTACCAACAACCCTCCT